CACTTTGGTGGTAGCTATGCCAGCCCATCTCCTGCAAGGGAGACACTCAACAGCTGTTGGATTAAGAACACCAGAAAACCGGTTGTAGTGGAAACGGCACTGGATTTTGGGCTCGAATCTTGGTTTGGCCACTTACAACCTGTGTGACAGAGAATAGCTCCTATCGCTTCACCAGGCCTCAGTTTTCCCACCTGGAAAATGTGCACTGGGAATCCCTACCCTGCCTGACTCACTGTAAGTTGCAAGTGAGATAGCAGCTATAGTCACAGCCATACATACAGGCGTTTTGACTATTATAATCATGGAATTAGAAAACCTCTGGTGCTGATGTCCTTAGTGTAAGAGGCTAATATGACTCCAAATCAATACTGCTCAAGTTGTTGTCTGTAGCCCTGAACCAATCTCACTTGACAGTCCAGAGGTAAGGCTACCATCCCCGCAGCCGAAGTGCACACACGGATGACTCCAGTGGTGTCCTAACCACTGAGTCAAACACATGCAGGAGAGCAGCTGAGAAAGACAGAGTCATCCACCATGAAAGGATTGGATTCTCCACCTATACCTTTGGAATCAGACAGAACTGGATTCAAATTCTGCCTTCACCACTATGTGACCTTGATCATGTCACTTAAAAAGAAGGAATGTCTACTGACTGCTTTATTATGTGCCATGTTGATTCCTTTAGACTTAATGATGTTATGAGGCAGGTACTATTATCATACCCCTTTACAGGTAAAGAGATGGAAGCACAGAGAGTTAAGTAAATTGTCCCAAGTGACGCAGCTAACAAGTGATGGAGTGTCAATTCAAACCCAGAAGGCTTGGCTCAAAAGCCCACATGGCTAACCACCACGCTCTATCACGTCTCATGGAGTTTCCCTGGGCCACAGCGTCCTCATCTGTAAACATAAAAAGCCATGGATGGAGAGAGACAGAGAGAGATATGAGAAAAAGCAAGCGCAGTGACATGTTAACAGCATGATCTAGGTGATGGGCATAAGGATGTTTACTGTAAAATTCTTTCAACTTTTCTGTTAAGTTTGAACATTTTCCCAATAAAATGTTGTAGAAAGTAGCATTAGAGATCTGCGCTGATGTATAATACTATATTATTAAAGCAGACTCATCATGTTAAAACAAACATACATTTAATGAGACACTTAGGACAAGACAGTGTGTAGTGTTTTGCATAAAACAGGTGTTTAGTAAGTGTATACAAAGCTCCTAGAACTGTTGCTTAAAATAGGTACTTAGTAAATGATAGTTCTTTTCCCCTTGTGAAGTTTAAAATCACTAATTCTTCAACATGCATTTATTAAGCTTCTAGTAGGTAACCACCACATTGAGGTGCGGTGGGATATTCAGAAATGAAGATTGGGACACCCCCACCAAGAGTACTGACTAAGGTCATAAAACACCCACCCTATCTGAAAAGTAAAGTATTGGGCTAGATCACTGCTGATGACATTTTTTTGTTTTTTCTCTTTTGCATGAAGGTCAATTCAGGAACAAAAGAATGTTTTGGAGGATACATTTTAAACTAAAGGAGAACAAAACCTTTCATTGCATACCATGATAAAGATGAACATATGTAACGATTTATGTAAGTTTATTTTATAAAATATAAGATGGCTAATAATATTATTGTAGCTACTAAAAAGCTATTATCTGTGTATATAAATCTCAAAGGCAGTAACTGCACAGAAGAAACTTTATAATTATCCATTAAACCCTGAGCTGCTGCTCATTGATTTAGGGGTCTCGAAGGGCTTGTTGAATTCTGTAATACACTCTACGTTTCTTCCTTTTTTTTTTAACTCTACATTTCTTGAAGGGAGGCCCCTTTGGTGGAAAAAGGACTTGGATTTAAATAACATTGCACACCACTAGAGAGTTACTTCCTTTTCAAACCTCTTTGAATCCTTCTGATTATGTCAAGTTGAAAGTCTCCGTGTGGTAGCAAGGTGTCTTTAACATCTAATACTTACTCATCTCCCTGTTTAACAAAGAGACCACGCCTCCAGCTCACAGCCTCGGCAAGTAACAACCTCAAGCTAGTTGTTACCAGTGTTACTTTATTTTTCTATCTTATTTTTCAATTGCCTTCTATTTATGGCAACTGATAATGATTTTCCATTTCCCAATAGTGGCATAAAGTTTCTTTTCTAAATATTTTTTTATTAAGTAAAAAAGATGGACTGATTTAAAGAAAAACAATGAGTAAATACCAGTGCAGGTGGTGTAGCAGAAATGGTAAAGGTGACAGCAGAAAAGGCTGATGGTTGAAGAACACAGATCTGCTCTTTCTCGTTTTACAAATGAAGAAACGGTGGCCCAGCCTTTCCCAAGGTCTCACATCAAGTTCACAAGCAGATTTTGGACTCACATTTTCCAGTGCACTGTCTCGCGCTCTTTCAGGGCTGTTTATATTTCTTTTGGCTTCAGCCTCAGATCCTCACACTAAAGCAAGGTGTGGGGCAGGACAAGCAGCGGAAGGAAGAAGGAACTGCCTCCCCGCCCTCTCATCCCGTCCGACCCCAAGGACCCCTGTGGACATGTCTCAGATCAGCAGCATCCCCCATACTCAAAGCACCCATTCAGTGCAGAAATGGGGCCCCCACCCCCACTGGTAATCATTCATGCTTCTCAAGTTGATGTATCTGAAACCTCCCTTGCCCAGACCTGTTCCAGCCCAAAGTGGGAATTTTCCTCCCCGTTTGCTTCCATCTGCTTCATGCAGGAAAGCAGAAGAAAGCTTTGCTCGCTGATTGATGTCCAGGAGGATGTGGTTCCTGCACGGGAGCTTTATCCCAGTCAGTCTGGCCTTCAGTGACATATCTCCAGAGCAGGTCCAACAGTGCTTTTGAAATTCAGAGTCTGACAGGTCAGGTCGTTCAACCAAGGCCCCAGGCTGTAGCATCGAATGTGAGGTCATGTAGGGAAAGCCCTTAGCACAGTGCTCGGCACAGTACACAGTCACAATGTGGTAGCCATTAGCATTTTCTTAGATATTTCATTCCTGTATTGTCATGTTACTCTGGATGAAGGGAATTTGTTTGTTTTTTGGACAAAGTACAGATAAAGGCAACAGGGCCCTTTCAGATGGCCAAGTAGCTAGCGCACTGCACAACCCCAGGGGGTTCCACTGACAGACTAAAAGGTGAATGGTGGCCTTGGGGTTGTATGATGTGCAGCATGCACAACTAGACCCGGCATCCCTTAGTGTTAATTCACTGCAAACTATGGAACCAGGAGTCACTCAGAAATCCAAGTCCTAGCACTGGTTTCTCCATTAACTTCCTGAGAGACTACAGGCAAGTCCTTTTTCCTCTCTGTGCCTCAGTTTCCTACTTTGTAACAGGACTGGATGAGGTCTGAAGTTCCTTCCAGCTCTAAAATTCTGTGACTCTATGGAAGTGGATTTCAGTCTCTGACAGGCTATTACACAAATGAGTTCACGTTCCTGGCTTGAGAGAGCAGAGCCAGCGCGAGTGAGGCAGGCATCTAAGAGGGGAGACAGTGCTTGCCTCAATCAGAAAGAAAAACTTCCTAATAATCAGTGTACCTAGCAACAGATGAGGCAGCTCCAGGAGGCGGGTGTGCCCGTGGCGCGAGGAATTCAAATACAGACCGGATGACCGCCTGTTAGAGATGGGAAGCTTGACCATGTGCCCTTTGAAGTCCCTTCCGGCATGGAGATCTTACAGTGTCAAAAGCTTGGTTCTGTTTTTATTAGTGCTGGGAGGCACTGGGCTAGGATCTCGTCTTGTCAAACCCTGCTGATTAACTATTAGTGCAATGCATTGGTTGGTTCTGCCTCCCTGACCCTCTACGAGCTCCCACGTGTCCACCTTTTCCAAATTAGACTGTCCTTTGGGCAGGGTTCACAGTTACCTTTGCTTGGCAAAACCTTTTATCCTAGTAAAAGCTAATGAAAAGACTTACCCAGACTTGGGGTAGGGAGAAGATGGAGCCAGGCTGTGAAACCGTGTAAAATACGCAAGAGAATACACCATCCAAACACTTCTAGCACCTGCACTCCAGCAATACAGCTAATGCTAATCGCAAATCACTCTTATCTATTCATTACTGCAAATCCCCTAGGAATTCCTAGCAGCAACAGCTGTGCAGGGTTGGTTTAAGTTACTGCACATTAGAGGAAAGAATCAGCTATTTCTTTTAAATCACAACAATCTTGGCTTTTCATTCATTTAGATCAGGCGCCACAGAAGAGTGTAAATGGCTGGGATTTAACTGCACCGCCTTTAAGTTGTATCCACAATGTACAAGGAACAGCAAGACTTGGCAATTATCCACTTGGGATGATTAATAAGTGCATTAGTCAGTCTTGGAAAGTGGGGTCAGAAACCCCCCACTGTTATCAATAACTCCAGTGTTTCACTCCCACTTCCAAAGTGAATCAGTCCAAAAAAAAAAAAAAAAAACTCAGCTTGGATGTACCTCTTAAACACTTCATTCAGAAATTTAGCTCAGGGCACCCTTAGCTCTTTAAACAATCTAAATAAATTCTTTTCCAGTTCCCTGTTGAATACAGTGGATATTTACACAATAAAAAGGTATCAATCTCAATTTAGGGTATTCATGGTGAAAGAGATTTAGTTTGGCAAGACTCCAGAACCTTCTCTCTTGGTGACTTTCCCAGCGGTGAGTAGCAAAGCCATCTACCTAAGAGAGAGGAGAAATGTCCCCTAAGGAATGTAAATACCAATGCTCTCATTGTAGCATATCCCATACTTTACACAGTAGTCTGCGTAGCAGTCCTACGCAGATTATCTACTCTGACCTTTGCAAACATGAGTCCCATTTCACAGATGAAGTAACTGAGGCTCAGAGAAGTAAAGCTACTCACCCCAAGTCACACAGCTTGAAGGAAGCAAAATGGGAGGCTCAAAGGCAAGTCCATTCTATCACCTACACCTCAGCTGCCTCTCAGATAACCACCCCCGCTGAACAAGAAAGAAAATACAATTTTATGGTACCTTTCTGCTTCCTGGTCTGCACTCCGCTGTTTGTTCTCGAAGGCGTTGAAGCTACTCATGTCCACATAGCCGTCATTTTCATTTGCTGTGGACAGGGCTCTGCTCTGATCTTCAAAAAGCTTCGTGAAAGTTCCAGTCCTTGCAGGCCTCCGGGGCGGAATCTGGATGTTTTCATAGTCCGAGTTCATAGCTGGAATGTTCTCATAGTCTGAAGTGTCCGCATTGGGGAACGAGATGGACCGTGGCTTGGTCAGCGGTAAGGGCAGGAAGGGAGGCCGGGAGCGGTCTTCGAAGGACTCCACTCTGGACACTGTCCTGCTGAAAGGGACACCTCTCCTCTTGCCATCCCTGTAGAAGATGAGGGAGGAGGGGGACTCAGAAGCCCGGAGCTTCCCCGTCCGAGACTTCAGCTGAGGCGAGTTACTGAGGCTTCTCCGGTCGATCTCCAGGAGCCGGGAAGGCCCGTGGTAGCTGGACTCTGAGGAGGACCGGGAAGAGGACACGTTCACCTCCACGTGCACTTTGCTCTCTGTCTTCTTCTTAAACGTCAGCGCCAGGAACCGCTTAAAGGATGACTTCTTCTTCTTGGTGTACTTGTCTGGGGAGTCGCTCTCAATCAGGAGTGAGGGCGAGCTCTTTGTGATGGGCTTCTTGGTGATGCAGGCCAGGTCGAAGGGGGGCGGGATGTCAACCACAGATGACGGTGTTGACGTGCCGCTGGAGGGCAGATGGTTTCTCTGGGAGAAGCTTCCAGAAGAGCCGATCACACAGGGCAAAGAAAGGTTGTCCTCATTCCGTTTTATCCGATGGTCGTCTAACCCCGATCCCTCCGGCTCGCGGAACAGGGAAAACGGAATCTCTCGGCCTTCCACAGAGAATGACCGTGGGTACAGGGTGAAGGCCCTGGGCTTGGCCGGCAAGGCCCTGCTGGTGACTTCCGGAGGCTTCCCCTCCAGTGACAAACCCATCTTTCTTGCCTCCACAAGGGGACCTCCACTGCCAATGGCTGCCGAGCCAGCTTCTGGTCCGGTTTCTTCTGGGACAGTTTCTGGGACATAGCCGGCCACCTTCCCGGAGTGGGGCCGGGCTCTTGTGCCGAGGTTTTTCCTGTCGATGGGGAGCAGGCCGCCCTCCGCATCAGAGCTTGTTTCTTCCCTCGTGCCACAACCACTCACGGTGCTTGGCCCAGCTTGCGTTTCACACTGGGCAGCGTGGCACACAAGGCCAACGCCCATCACATAAGGATCGGTGGGCGAGTCATCCACCGCATCCTCACCTGGGGCGTCCTCTGGCAGGACCACCACCTCAGGGACAGAGGGGCCGTCACAGGCAGCACCCTCTGGGGGGTCATGCTGGTCACCCACAGTCCCAGCTTCGGGGCCCTCCTCTGCGCACAGCTCTGACTTTGACCCTTGCTCTGATTCTGAGCCTTTTGCTGACTCAGAAAATGGTGGATAGCTTTCGCTACAAAAAGAGGTGCTCTCAGTCGGAAAGAACTCGTAGGGACTCCCTGTAAGGGATGTCACGAAGTTGTCAACACTGTCGTTCTCGAAAGGAACCATCTGGCAGCTCTCCTCAGCAGGCTCATCTTCCTCAGCAGGCTCATCCTCCATGGGGCCCTCACCTCTTGGAGGGTCTTCATCCATCTCCCGGACAACCGCCACTTCTTCCGGGCTGGTGGTCTCATCTGGGTCAGGATGGGCATCGTCAGCCTGGCCACCACCCTCTGTGGCATCTTCACATGTCTCCCCAGAGACGTCCAGGTTTTCTACAGCCATGTCTGCCTGCTGGACATCCGAGGCCAGTTCCTTCTTCTCTGGGGGCTCCTCACTGGCATCTTCAGCACCCACCTCAGCAGGACTGCTGGAATCCACTTGCTCATCTGGGTCCCCAGGTTCTGCCGTGGCACAAGCTTTCTCATTGTCCTCTTCCACCTCCACGGGGACCTCAGGGGGTCCAGGCTCCTCGCCAGCGGCTACTGGATCCTCTAACTTGACGTGAGTCAGGATATCGCTCTGGAAGACCTCTTCTCCGTCCCAAGGGCCCCTGTCCTCCTGGTTGTATGAGTTGCGTTCTTCCTCCTTCTGTGTGAGCACCTGCTCTCCTTCCCCCAGGCCACCCTCACAGTCCTCCTCTCCAGCTGCGTTCTCAGGAGCCTGGTCCACACCTCCATCACTCTCTCCACTCAGCACCACTTCAGCCAGGGCAGCTGCATCCTCTGCAGCTCCTGACCCCTCCACATCACACTCCTCACTTCCCTCCTCGTGTTCCTCTTCTCCAGGAGCATCTGGAGGCACCAAGACTTCATTCTCCACATAGCCCCCGTCGGCGGGCTCGTCCTCTCTCAGCGGCGCCTTGGGGGCCACGATGTAGTCCTCATCTGCCTCTGACTCAGAGCACTCCAGGTTGGACTGCTGCCCTTCATCAAGACCCCTGTCTACGCAGAGCAGCTTCCCGTTGCTGCATTTGTTTAAGCTGTTGTTCATGTACACGCTGGCTCGCCACTCATGGGGGGCACCCAGCCTGGGCTTGGGGGCGATGGGGGGCTTTGGCCCCCTGAACATAGAGTTTGGACTGTGAAGACTGTCAGGTCGGGGTGATGAAGGGAATTTGGGTGCAATCAGTGGTGTGAGGGGACTGGCAGTCTTTGGCTTGGGAGCAACTGGTGGTTTTGGTGAATCTGGAGGACGAAAAAAGAGAAAAGAAGGAAAAAAAAGTACAATTAACTTTACTTCTATTCAGATTCTCCTGCATATCATTTGCGAGCGGACACTAAAGATGGCTCCCCTGACCCATGTGAACCAAAAAAAGAACCAAACCAGTTGCCATCGAGTCAACCCCAACTCATGGCAACCCCATGTGTATCAGAGAGTACTGTGCTCCACTGGGTTATCAATGGCTGATTTTTCAAAAGTGATCACTAGGCCTTTCTTCAAGGTGCCTCTGGGTGGACTCGAACCACCAACCTTTTGGTTAATAGCCATGTACTTAATCATTTGTACCACCCAGGGACTCCATGTGAACTTGATCTATTATGTTCTGTCTTAGGCTTATCCCCTCCACCATAATCTTTAAAATCCCTTGACCTTTCACTTAAGATTCATTCTATAAACGATGTGAATGCATCCTTCTTCTATACAGAATCCAGCTAGCAAAACTCAGCAAATGAAATCTTGTGCTCCTCAAATAAGGGTGTCCAGGTTGCTGCAGGCACTCATTCAACAAATATTTATTAAACACATGCTATGTGCTATGTGCGTATGCTTGGCTGCTAACCAGAAGGTTGGAGGTTCAAGTCTACCCAGAGGCACCTTGGAAGAAACGCCTGACGACCTACTTGTGAAAAAGCAGCCAGTGAAAACCCTGTGGAGCACTGTTCTCAATGACACACAGAGGGTTGCCATGAGTTGGGGTCAACTTGACAGCAACTGGGTGGGATGTGCCACATACCGATGAGAAAACATTGAACTTGACAGCTACCATCTCTGTCACCTTCGTGGAGCTGACATTCTAGAGTAACTCTTTGGATACCTACTATCTATACACATAGCACTGTAGATAGTGGAGTCTCCTCAGTTCAAGAAGAGTAGAATATCTCTGCTAAGTACTCACAGTTGAGCTATGGAGACAAGACTAACAGAACAAATGGAGGACAGAGTCAGAGAGCCATGGAATGTGATGACTGAACAGTCACTGTATCATCCTTTTAAGAGTGACACACCAATGGTTTGAGGCACTGATGTTATGATTCTGCAGAGGGTCCCACCTGAATTCTAAATGTTTTAAGACTGGTATCTAGCTAATTGTCCTGCCTCCTAATTTCATGGAAGGAATTATATGGTATTTGCCAACATAAGGAACCCTGGTGGTACAGTGGTTAAGCACTTGGCTGCTAACTGGATGGTCGGCGGTTCAACCCACCAGCTGCACCACGGAAGAAAGATGTGGCAGTCTGCTCCCGTAAAGATTACAGCCTTGGAAACCCTATGGGGCAACTCTATTCTGTCTTATAGGGTCACTGTGAGTCGGAATTGACCCGATGGCAACAGGTTTGGTTTTTGGCATTTGCCAATGTGGATATCTGCAAAAGGTTTCATCCTTTGTGGATACTAAAGATCTGTTGAACATGGCAGAATAAAAGATATGGTGCAAACTATAAATGCAACAGGAATTAGGGAAGCAGGGGCTGAAGTGTCCAGTGGTCAGGGAAGACCTCCTGGGAAGGTGAAATTTCAGCTGGGAAGGATCTGGATAAGTGTAAGAGTCAAGGGAGTAGCTGCCCACTTTTGATTTCAGTATCTTTACTGCCACAAGCCAGGTCCACCTTCCACACCTCTTCCCTGGCCTCCCTGCTCCTGTCTTCCCACCAGTCCCCTTCCACACCGAATGCAGGGTGAGCTTTCTAGGAAGGCAACTCCATCCCTACATCTCTGCTTCAAAAATGCTGCCTGGCTCCCCAGAGCCCAGGGATTAGGATAGCCAATCTTCCCTTTCAACCCAGTCTCATCTCCTAGTTCCATCCCCAGTAAGGCTTGGGTTTGACACAAAGGGGCCTCAGAATGCCAACCCAAGTCCTGCAGAAGGGAAGATGAGCAGAGGGCCTAGAGGTCTGTTAACAGACTCTTCTCCTTCCCATGCATCTTTGTTGTTGTTGTGAGCTGCTGTTGAGTTGGCACCGAAATCATGGCAACGCCATGCACAACTGCACAAAATGCCATTCCCGTGATCAGCTGTGGATCAGATCATTGTGATCCATAGGGTCTTCACCTGCTGACTTTCAGAAGTAGACCGCCAGGTCTTTCTTCCTAGCCCATCTTAATCTGGAAGCTCTGCTGAAACCTGTTCAGCATCCTAACAACACGCAAGAGCGTCCACTAAAGGTTGGGTGGTTGTGTGCATGAAGTGTGTTGGCCAGGAATTGAACCTGAGTCTCCTGCATGGAAGGTTAGAATTTTTCCACTGAATCACCACTGCCTCCCCATGCATCTTACCCCCAGCTATGCCCTTGTAGTATCTGACACCACCAAGTTTGTTCATGAAAACTAGATGCCACCACAATGTCTGTTTTCTCCTGGTCCACCTCCTACCTCTATGCCACTCCTACTCGGCCTTGTTTTCTTTCTTTCATTCATTCTTCTGATTTAATGACAACTATGGAGCTTCTAATATGTGCTTGAGACTTCCTTTCCCTGTTTCCTGGTACGCATAGTAACAGTCATAATTCTGTCTTGCTTCTTAATTTTTGCATCTATTCTAAAGACACACAAATCCCCTAACCTCACCCAGTCTCCATCCAGGGATGTCCAACAGAAATATTATGTGAGCCACATATGTCATTACATGTGTAATTTTTAGTTTTCTGGTAGCCACATTAAAAAGTAAAAAAAGAAAATTAATTTTAATAACATATTTATTCAATGCAGTATATCCATAATATCATCTCAACATGTAATCAATATTAAAAAATTATTAAAACATTTGAGGTTCTTTTTTTGTACTGTCTTTGAAATCCAATGTGTATTTTACATTACCAAAAACAAAACAAAAAACACCAAACCCCATTGCCATGGAGTCAATTCTGACTCATAGCTACCCAACCAGAAAGGGTAGAACCGCCCCATAGGGTTTCCAAGGAGCGGCTGGTAGATTTGAACTGCCAATCTTCTGCTTAACAGCTGAACACTTAACTACTGCACCCCCAGGGCTCCATTGTACATTACAGCACATCTCAATGTGGACTGGCCACAGTTCAAGTGCTCAACAGCCCCATATGGTTACTCTACTGGCCAGCACAGCTCTGATTTTAGACAGCTCTATGGAGCTGTCCCACTGGCACATCAATTTCAATATGTCTGAAGCCAAGATCAGTATCATCTCCCCCAAACTGGTGGAACTATATAAAATTCAGCTGAGGTCCCAAAGGAAATAAAAAAAGGGCCTGGAGTAACACTATTACTAGTCGTAGTAGTAGTATGAAAGTAACGATAATAGTAGTAATAAAATAGTAATAATATAAATAAATAAAATAGTAATAACAATAAAAAGAGTAGTCCATGCACTTTGTTCCTGGAAGCGCCTGATTTCAGAGGCTCCTTACTTATATTCTACACATAAGTCTAATAAACTCAGTTATCTGGTTTCCCAGTCCACCGCTACTTAGAAGGGGTGGGAGAGGTAGTTAGAGCAGAAACACTGCCAGTTATGAGGCAGCTGACAGCAAAAAAGGGAGAAGAGCACAACTGTATGAGATTTGAAGAGCTAAAGCACACAGCAGTCTGAGGCCAGCTATGCAGCAGGTCCCTAATCTGCCTCTACCTGAAAGCCCAGGCAAAGCACTGATATATCCCGCTAAGAACCCAGAGTATAATAAGACATAATAAGTGATATTTCAACTCACTGTTTCCATAAGTAATCAAGTGTGTCATAGTTTGGAAAAAACATCTGTCCAAATTGGCGATAAAACAAAAATTTGGAGCTTATACAGATAAGCTTCAGCTGCCTGGGAGTGTGGGCTAACAGTGTGAGCCTTTGGAGCCTGGCTGACATGGGTTCAAATCATGGATTTGCCACTTACAAGCTATAAAGCTGAGCCTCAGTTTCCTCATCTTTAAAATGCGTATGACAGTAGCACCTACCCTCAAGGGGTTGTTAAGATTAAAAGATATATATTAAAAGTGCTTAGTAGCAGACCTTCACATAGAAGCACTCAAAAACTGTAGCTATTACTGTCCTGATAAAGTCAATACTTGCCCAGCCCACCATCTTCCCCGCTATGAGTCTTGCTCTACACTAATATATAACGTAGTATCAGCTTCAAGCCCTTAGCATCAGGCGTCAGCATGGAATTATTCTGTGGGGGTGGGGACTCTCATTTCTCATCCTTTACAGGTGGCATTTCACATGTGCGCCATGAGACGTGACAGAAGGACAGATGGGCCTTGAAAAACGACCATCACCTGGGCTGAATTGCCTCCGCCCTACCCCCACCTCATCCTTCATCCAATCAAGCTATTGATCTGTGGGCACCATCTCCTCAGGAAAGGCTAGAGTTGGCGTCTGAGACATGATTCTGCAAGACAATGCCTTTCCCAAAAGACTCCGAGGAATGACAGTACTCATGCCATCTTGTGCTTCCAGCTCTGGACTCGGGGCACTTCACCTGCATCCCCTCTTAGACTACAGCATGCCATGCAAAATGGCCTTGTCTGGCCCCTCAGTGAAAGATAAGCAAACTGAGGCACAGAAAGGGCAAGTGACTGGCTTGGAGTGCCCCAGCAAGTCCAGAGCAGAGCTGGGTAGAAGGTGGGTTTCCTGCTTCCTGGTCCAGTCACCTGAACTCTGCCTTCACCTTTCTGCCAGAGTGTTTCCTCTACAGTGGAGGCTCAGGGGTCCTAGGATCTAGTAAAGCAGAGAAAGGTAAAATGCAGGGAAACTAAGGCCAGAGAGATCAGGGACAGCCGGCCAGGTGAGAGATTTATATAAGGCCAGGGTCAGGGCTCAGAAGTACTAACCGACCAGAAGGTGAATAACTAGCTTATTCGCTCCCATTCAATTTCCTTTAATC